GACATACTCCTCAACAATCTTTAGAGCTTCCTTGCTGCCATTAGTTTAAAATACAAATTGACATTTAAAATCACTATCTGGTCACTTTCCAGACTTATGTCATACTACTCCCCTTCACATAGTCTATGTTCAACCCAAATTGGACTTAGAGCTGGTCTCAGATCTTGTTTTGTACTTTCATATTCTTGGGCATTCACTCATGTTGTTCCCTAGCACCTAAAATGTATTAATTCATAACTATTTCCTTAATTTCTCAGCTGAACGTAAACTTTTCCTCCTAATATTTTCTCTTTCTTTCTTTCTTTCTTTCTTTCTTTCTTTCTTTCTTTCTTTCTTTCTTTCTTTCTTTCTTTCTTTCTTTCTTCCTTCCTTCCTTCCTTCCTTCCTTCCTTCCTTCCTTCCTTCCTTCCTTCCTTCCTTCCTTCCTTCCTTCCTTCCTTCCTCTCTCTCTCTCTCTCTCTCTCTCTCATCAGAATTGAACTCAGGTCCTCCTGACTCCAGGGCCAGTGCTCTATCCACTCTGCTACCTAGCTACCCCTTCTCCTTATATTTTCTTACAGCATGTTGTCATATTTTGCCATTTATCATAATTACTTGTGCATCTGTTAAATCCAATATATTAGATTAAAAACTCCTCGAGGGCAGAGACTGTCATTTTTCAACCTTTTATCACAGGTTCCTAGCATAGTGTCACGCACAGAGTAGAAAATTAATAAATATTTGTTCAATGGAAATGGATGGCATATGGATCTCTTTAATAATATTGTGTATTTATACGACAATGAATAGACAAATACCATAAACTATAATATTATGTTTTCTAAAACAAAAGAATATAAGTAGCACAGGTATGATTTCCTTATTTTGTAGGTGAGGAAATGAAGGCTCAAAGGCTTTCTTCATAGCTAATGTTTTGAAACGGGGACTCAGAATCAGACTTTTTGACTCCAAGTTTGTTTCTGTTCTCAGTACATCATGCTTTCAATTTGCTTCATCTGCAAGTCTGAGTGGGTGGTTTAGAGTTCCTTCAAATATGCAGAGATGTATGACAGTTCTGTAAACTCAGGTGATTTACTGTTCAGCTGCATTATTACTCAGTAGTTAGTACAGAGGACAAGATATTATTCATTCTAGCTTGACAATCTATTCCACATTCCTTCATGATTAGTCTTATTTTGATTGTGTCTAGTCAGCAAGAAAGGGAATAATTAATCTCAAGGACAATTCATAAAAGCTAGAATTCTCTTGGCATCCTTAAGCCACTGTTGTTTTTTTTTCCTCCACTGTATATGGCTTACATTGTAAAGTGAGATGACAAAACCTAATTCATTTCAAATGCAAAGGCACTTGTTCAGCCTGGGTGCTTATGTAAACCCATTTTTTCACTCTTTCCAGTGGTTTGGTTGGCTTCAAGGGATTCAGCCTTCAAACAGAGTTAGTAATTGAATTTCTGTTTCTCCCTTTTCTAGTTTATGTGAAGTATAATAAATGTGGATTTGAAAATATTTGTTATATTTTACACAAACTAGAAAAATTGTGAGACTTTATGGGGTTTGAAGTAATAAAGAATTCCCTGTACAGAATTCTTCTTGTGGTATTTCTATTAATATCATTCTGCCAGTTTGGAGTCCTTCCTCCCCATTACTGTATACCTATCTGAATCCTACTCATCATTGAAGGCCCAACATATACCATCTCTTCCACACAGCCTTAAATCCTTTAGCATTTAGTTTTGGTCTTACACTGCTCTAAAATTTGTATTCATCTTTTGGTGTCTATTACTGTTAGTTCTCTTTTCTTATATCTATACTTTACTTTCTGATTTAGATTGATAATTCCTTGAAGTCAGAGACTTTGTCTTATACAAATTCACATTTTCCACTGTGCTTTATACTTTCCTCTGCACTTAGTAGGTGCTCAGTAAATGCTGGTTTAAGAGATCATCCCCTGTTTGTTTATTGTGCTATTGTGCATTTCCATATAAATCTAATTCTTCTTCTTCTTCTTTTCTTCTTCTTCTTTTCTTCTTCTTCTTCTTTTCTTCTTCTTCTTTTCTTCTTCTTCTTCTTCTTCTTCTTCTTCTTCTTCTTCTTCTTCTTCTCCTTCTCCTCCTCCTCCTATTCCTCCTTTTCCTCCTCCTCTTTCATCTTTTCTTCCTCTTCTTCCTTCTCCTCCTTGTTCTTCTTCCTTCTCCTCCTTATTCTTTTTCCTTCTTTTTGTTCTTTTTCTTCTGCCTTCATCATGATCATATCATCATCATATGAATTTGTCAAATCTAACCTAAACTGAGATTTAAGAACAATGTATTTAATAGCTGTCATCTCACAAAAAAAAGTCTTCAAACCTTGTGGAACAAAAAGTACCTAAATATTGAGGCCTATTGGAAAAAAATCTATATATGCTCTCTGCTATTGGAATTATCCTGAAGATGCCTTCAGAAGATGAACTTACATTGCAATACTTTTAATCAATTTTAAAAATCAGTTATTTTTATCTACCTGTGCAATAGTCTATCAAATATAAATATAAAATAATAATAACAGGAGAGTGATTTATCCTAGGAATGTTTCAATTTGCACTCCAACAGAAACATAGAAAATGAGGTTATTGTTAATAATAATAACAAAACACACATTTGTATAACATTTGAAGGTTGGCAAAGTTTTTTCCTCACAACAACCTTCTAAGGCAGGATGTGTTATTGATATGTAGTGTAGTTCAGTGGAAAGAACATTGAATTTGAAATCAAAAGATCTGGTCTCCATTCCTGGTTCCACCACTTACTGTCTGTGTGACCTTGGGCAAACTACTTCCATCTTGGGGCTTTAGTTCCTTCATCTTTAAAATGAGAAGTTTGGACCAGATTACCTCTAAGGTTCCTTCAGGGTCTAGATCCATAAAATCCTATATATAGTTAATTCTTAGTTATCTGTACTGAAAGTAGTTGGCAGAAGCATGAACAATTATAGAATTAGAAGTTTTGAATTAGAAGAGACATTTTCTAGTTCAGTATCTTTATTTTATATATGAAGAAACTGATAATCCATTCATTGAAGTCAATTGAATTCAAAGAACCACATATGATCTCTAAGGTCCTTCTATCACTAAAAATTCTATGTGGTCTAATCAAGGTGGTGCTTGGAGCTGGCTTGTTTCAGCTCATGAGAGTTGATTGTTAAATTTTCAGTGTTAGTATTTACACCTCCGACAAAGGCAAATGTTACAAATCAGAGTTTCATTTATTGTTTTGTTGATTGACTAGACTAAATAAAATGATGGAGAAAATGTAATAATACAGATTAAACTTAAAAGTGTGTCATGTGTACTTCTTCCTTCTGGAGAGCCAGTTGTTAAACATTTGCTGGAATATTTACCAAGGTTTTTAACCCAGCTGTTTTCTAGATGTGAAATGGATTTTCTGAAAGGTTGAATAATGAGTAAGTGTCTATCTGGGGATACAAATGCAGGTATCCTGATTCAATCAATATTTTCTAGGAGTAAACCTAAATAAAGGTGATGCACCTATTAACTGAATATCGACTACCAAAATAAATATGAATAATATAAAAGCTAATTTTATATAGCACTTTAAGATCAGCAAAGCACTTTACACATGTTATCTCATGCTTCAAACAGCCCTATGAAATAGGTGCTATTAATATTCCCATTTTAAAGATGAGAGAATTGAGGCAAATAGAAGTTAAATGATTTTTTCCCCACTGTATATGGCTTACATCGTAAAGTGAGATGAAATAACCTAATTCATTTCAAATGCAATGGCACTTGTCTCAGCCTGGGTGTTTATGTAAACCCATTTTTTTCACTCTTTCTAGTGGTTTGGTTGGCTTTGGGGGATTTGCCTGGAATCCTACAGCTAGTGTCTGAGGCAGGATTTAAATTCAAGTCTTCCTGATTCCAAGCTTGGCACTCTAAAAACTGTGCCACCTAGCTGTCTAGAACATACACCTTCTCTACACCCCCTTTCCTTTGTATTAGTTGGGGCCTTGAAAAATTTTATATATAATGCCATGATAAATAAAGTCAGAAAAATAGCATCATCAACAGGTGTTTCTGGGCTCTATGGCCATGGAATGAAGGGGCAGAAAATTGCCAAGGTAAATGGTGAACTGAAAAGAAAATATACTATGAAATATTAACATGAGAGAACTTTTTTAGCCTGAAGGAGAAAAAAGGAGGTGGGATCTTAGCCTTGGGTAAGAAAACAAGCTACGAGACACAGCTGCAAACAGCACCATGGCAGTCACTGTAGCCACAGACCAAAATAAATCTTCTTTATCCACATTATACAAAAAATCATGCTGGCCACATTGGATTTTTCAGCCTCACTCAGTGAAAATGATAGCTCCAGTCAATAATATTATCAAGGACATGGGTAAGCAATATTTCTTTTAGTAAAATATGGTAAGTTATTTCAGGGATGGTTTATTAATCTGTAACTCATTTTAAGTCTCACTGACTAATGAGTAATTCCATACACAGCAGAGAAATAGCAGGAGCAGACATCTGTATGTGTCATTTGGGATTTGAGTTCCCCTTTTCCCTTTTCTTCCAGATAAAGCTCTTGTTCTTTATTAATTAAATATTTAGTCATATACCATGTGCAAAGGCACTATCCTAGCTATGTGGTGCAGTGGGTAGAGTCCTGGTCCTAGAATCAAGAAAACTTACATCCATCCATTTTTCTAGCTATGCAGATCTGAGTGAATCACTTAATCACTTCCTACATCAATTTCCTCAATTGTATAATGGGGATAATAATAACACCTATCTCCTAGGGTTACTGTGAAGATAAAATGAGATAATATTTGCAAAGAATTTTGCAAACCTTAAAAGGCTACTTGAATGCTAGCTATTAATAAAATATGTGTAAATAAGAGACAAGGTTAAATTGCATTAACCCTGGTTTTAAAACAAAAAGGACTTGGAAATCCCCATGTTAATTACATGAACACTTTAGATACTAAATATTTAATTCATACCAGCTCATTACTTCCATCTTCATCGAAGTCCTCCTCTATCCCATCAGTCATCTCTTCTCCATCTCCATCTGCATCTGGTCCTCCTTCAATAGGTTCCTCTGTAGAGTTGTCTGCGTTCTCTGACACACATTCCTCTTGGTTCAACTCTATGTTATCTTCCATTTGCTTCTTCTGAGCTTCTGAGGGAAAAGAGCAAACGGCTACCTTTCATAGTTAATGGTCTGTTCTGATGAACCAAAAATATCTGAAGCAACATATTCCATAAAAGATGGCACTGCACTGATAAAAATGTGAATGATAACTTTTTTTTTTGTTTTCTAGCCTGTGATTTTGTCATTAAGTGGACTTGAACTTATCAATTATGCGCAACCTCACTTAAATTGATTTATGTATTGTATTTTTAAAATGTAGACTTCTAAAACTCAGAGAAACAAAATAGTGGAGTTAGTGGCCCCTCAGTGGGAGAAACATTTCAATAAAGCAAATCAGTCTGGTTAACACACATATATAACTTACAACATATTTTAAAATTTAATCTTTTAGTTGAACAGGTGCCTTAGAGACAAAATGAAAGCAAAATAATGAGTAAAGAAGACATAAAATAAATAGTAAACCCAATGAAAAAGGAGAAAGCACAGAGGGAAGGCTAAGCCTAAATAAGAGAGGCACATAAAAACATGTTGCAGTAGTAAAAGAATATAATGGGAGAAATATTAACCTTTTTTATCATTGAGTCATTTTTCAGTTGTGTCTGACTCTCTGTAACCCCATTTTGGGTTTTCTTGGCAAAGATACTGGAGTAGTTTGCCATTTCCTTCTCCAGCTCATTTTACAGATAAGGAAACTGAGGCATGTAGGGGTTCAGTGACTTGCCCATTGTCACATAGCTAGTAAATGTCTGAGGCCAGATTTGAATTCACTGAGAATTCCTGACTCCAGGCCCCATACTTTATCCTCTGTGCCACCTAGCTGTACCACATTAACTATACATATTATTAATAACAATAATGTCTATTTATATAGTTATTGCAAAGTTCTTTCATGATTTATTGTCATCTCATTAGAACATTGCAATAACCATAAAAATATTATCATTCCCATTCAGCAGATAAAGAGACTAAGATGAAGAAAAACCAAATGATTTGCCCAAAGTCAAAGGATTCTTATCTATAGACAAGTGAGCCACAACTATTAAAGGCAAATTCTATGTGAAAGACACATTTAAATAATTTATATTAAATTTTGTCATTGGATATTTGCTTGTATTTTCTGTTTGCCATTCCTACTCTCATACATACTTCCTAGGAAGGGTCTTAATCATCACTGCATATATGAGAACATGCATATTTTATCTGATAGTTTTCTTTATGCTATTGCTTTAATACACCTAGGATCATGTCAGTTCCAACTCAGTAAAGATACTAGTTTTGTTTTAATTTTTTATTATTAATAATATCTAATATTAGTTTTTTTAATTGGGGGATTTTAAAGGTTTATTGCATTTTTGACATATTAGACATTTCTTGGGGCCTTTCTTTTCCTAATGTAAGCCAATAGGCTAATGTAAAGCAGTTTATTAATACACAACCCTTCAGAACTACATTTAATGTTCAACACATATACCTAATGGCTGATAATACCTTATATAAGAATAAGACTGGGGTACTTTCTTTAAAGTAAATCAGAATTCATTATGTATGTACCCTGCTATATATTTATTGATCTTTTGATTTTTAAATAAGCGTTTTTAAGGCTGAAGGAAAGTGGTAGAATGATTGCTATTAAATTTCTAAGGTTCTGTGATCTTATTGATGTCGGTTTTTCCCTCTAACAAAGCAGTCCCCCAGCCATTCTTTTTCTTTAATCACGTGGCCCTTGTCCTTGTCCTCCCTAAATCCTTCACAGCAGGGTGGGGCACTCAATTTGCAGAGGGCCTTCTAGGAACTTACTATTTATTATGTGGGCACAAAGGGAACAAGTAGGCTATGCATTGGTTTACTTCCTATTACAGTCACATATCTCTTTGGAAAAATATTTTTTATGTACTTTTTGTGTACAGTTACACATTGGTAAAATGTTGTAAACTGTTTAGTTCTACCATGTTATATCCAGTGTTTTTTGGGTAAAAATGTAATTTTGATTCATCAAAGTTTATGATGTCCCTAGTATGTAGCAATATAGAGACATTAGAATTCTAAAGTTAAAAGTGCTATGTCCTACACAGGGTCTTCCTTGATCACCCATTTTTTTAATCATGCATATAATTTAAATTTGTTTATTTATATTTACATTTTCTTCAAGCAATATGTAAGTCTCCTGAGGTTCGGGACAGTTTCCATTTTTTGTTTTTGTATTCTCAGGGCCTAGTCCTTTGCTTGACAAACAATAGACAGTAGATGTTTAATATTGCTAGAGATGAGAGGGACTCACTAGATATTATTATATAAAGAAGGGAGTCAGTCAGACTTACCCTTTAGGAAAATCACTAGGGCAGCTAAGCAGAGAATGGATTGAGGAGACACCTGAGGAAGGGAGACCAATTAGGAGGAAATTGCAATAGTCCAGTTCAGAAGTGAGGAAGGACTGCACTGGAGTGGTAGCTTTGTGAGTGGATAGAAAGGGATGTGTGTGAGAGATGTGGAGGCAGAAACAAGAAGATACAGTAACTAATTACATATAGGGGGTGAATGAGAATGAGGAGATGAAGAGGATATTGAGGTTGTGAACTTGGGCTTCTGAAAGGATGGTGGTTCCATTGACAAAAATATGTTAGTTTGATAGAGGAGAGGATTTTAGGAAGGAGATAATGAGTTCTGTTTTAGACATGGTGGGTGTGAGATACATAGAAGACAAAATAATTTGTATAGAAATTTCAGTAGATCTTTCCTTTTTTTTGGTTAATTTGTTGTCTCTCTTCCAGTTTTGTCCTTAAATATTTCAACTCGCTTTTTGAAGAAAGTATCCATAATAGCTAGGAGTGAGATTTCTGTATAGTTTACAAACTTTGGGCTTCCTTCTCTTGACTCTGCATCATATTCTAACATTTTGTACTGCCATTCAATCTATGTTCATCTTCACTTTGAAGTCATTACTAAAGCATAATATTAATTTAATTTGAAGGGTCTTATTGAACTTTTCATAGAATTTCTCCACTTCTGTATCCTGTAATTGATGCTGATGCATCACCATGGTGGCCTGTTTGTTTATGTTCATAATGAGATTACTAAGTGGCTGCTTATGTATATTAAACATTCATTGTGCATTTTCACATTTAAATTCCACAGTTGACATAGGTTAAATTATAAAAGATTTATATTAAACTGAGAAAACAATCCATTGTAAAGTATATTTAATCATAGGAGAGGTTATACGTATGTTTACATAGTTTCACTGAATTAAACATGTGATTAAAAAGCTTTTTTGGGAGAGGGTGGATGGCAATACTCATCACCTAATGTAGCCCCAAACAAATTCTAAGGGGGAAATGAATAGTTGCTTGAACTGATATAATGGTAGTAACTCTTCTTGTTTGTGTACACTGTGAAATTTTATGCTATAATAAAAATTGAAACAAACACAGTTATCTACATAGGCATTTATTACAGTTAGAGAACTGTTTTGGTTTTTAAAAAAATTCTTGGTCATGTCTAGGAGTTAAAGAGAAAAAGATATGATGGAATTCATGGATTTAGTCAAAATATGAAAGTGAGCATGTATGGTCATAGGCATCTTAAAACCCACTAAATCAGTGACTCTCCTATTCTTTTCTTTCAAACATTTCTGATATGTCACATAGGCACAGGCTAGGTTCTTCTGGCAACTGAATGGTTCCTTTATGCTTTGCCTTATAAATCTCTAATTCAACTGAGCTCAAACCAATCCAAATGTCTAGATATTGGTAGGGAGAAAAGGATTTGTATTTTAACTTCATACATACATTGCTTTAAAGGAATGCCAGGCTTATGTAGTATTTGAAAAATTATTTTGGCAATTAAGAAGCCAAACAAGAATGAATATAGTAATTTTGATGTAAAATATATATAATTAATCTACAGACAAAAATGGAGTAATTGATTGAAGAGGGCGATAAGTTGAGAGCTATAGAAATGATATCTCAAAAGATTTAGAAGAGACCCTCCATTGTTTTGGCCAGATCTTCTCTTGTAGATTTATGGGAGGTTACAAAAAAGAATGTCACAGACCGAGAAAGCATTAGCACAGTGAGAATCCACAGAGAAGAGACAAAGCATGGCACAGTAAAAACAAATGTTGGACTTGGAGTCCGGAAGACCAAGGTTTAAAAGTCACACTTCTTACATTTATAAGCTATGTGACTTTGGGCAAGTCACTCAACTTTCTAAGTATCAGTTTCCTCATCTGTTAAATGCTGTAAGGATAGGATTATGTAAAGCAGTGTGTAAACTTTAAAAAGCTATACAGGGTGTCCCAAAAATCTCAATGTAGTTTTATGCTCTAATAGATTAAAACATCACTGAAACTTGTGGGATGACCTGCAAAACTACCATTATATAATATTATGTGATATTGTATGCCCTGTATAATAATACAGGGAGTATTAATCATGGAAATGCTGCAATATTGATAAATATGCAAAGTATAAGGAAGGACTGTGTTGAGTTGAAAGGGAACTGGTAGTTGAAAGTGAAGTGGTCAGAAATGATGAATTTTGGGCCAAAAAATAAAGAGTTGAATCAATATATATATTCTCTAGCTAAAACAATCTAAAAGAATTCCAAGTGCTCCATGATTTCTGTAGGATTTCACCAGCACTGACTTGTGTCAGACCCCAGACAGAAAATATTGTAGTCACCGGAGGACGACAAGGTCTATCAAAGAAATAATACACGAAAGCACATCTTATTTATTAACATTGTGATGAATACAGTAATAACAACTTTTGCTCAAGAAGTACACTGGCATAACAAGTAAAAATGACTATGGAGGATGACAGCTTTTAATTGAATAAATACACTTTCAATAGAGATATTTGACTGCATTTATTTTGACTAAAAACTAGCAAATTTTTTTAGTAGTGTATCTTTTCCATTCATAATTTAAAAATATATTTTGATGTGGTTTGCTTCTTCAAAGTTCTAGGTAATAGTGTTTATCTTTCTTATTTAATAAAATGCAACAAAAATATTTTTAGGGACATATACTAAATGACAGGAGGAGATAT